GTCCCCCCATGTGGTCCTGGGATTTTTGCTCACCGTTCTTGTGATCATTTTCACCCCACGGGTGAGATCTTGTGTGGAGCCCCAGATCGAGGGAGATTATCAGTGGTCTTGTATGTCTTCCATTTTCTAATTATTGCTCCCACAGTTGATTTGTTCACACCAAGCTGCTTGCCTATTGCAGATTCAGTCCTTCCAGCCTGGTGCAGGTCTACAATTTTGTTTCTGGTGTCCTTCGACAGATCTATAGTCTTCACCATAGTGGAGTTTAGAGTGTGACTGTTTGAGGTTGTGGACAGGTATCTTTTATACTGATAACAAGTTCAAACAGGTGCCATTGATACAGGTAATGCGTGCAGGACAGAGGAGCCTCTTAAAGAAGAAGGTACAGGTCTGTGAGAGCCAGAAATCTTGCTTGTTTGTAGGTGACCAAATACTTATTTTCCACCATAATTTGCAAATAAATTCTTTCCAAATCAGCCAATGTGATTGTCTGGATTTTTTTTTCTCATTTTGTCTCTCATAGTTGAGGTCTACCTATGATGCCAATTACAGGCCTCTCACACAGTACTCATCTTTTCCAAGTGGGAGTGGGAACTTGCACAATCTTTTTAAGTGGGAGAACTTGCACAATTGGTGGCTGACTAAATACTTTTTTACCCCACTGTAAGTATGACATGTTTGTTATTTTTTTAAAATTAAAATGTAAACTTTTCAAATCACTTTAAGAAATATAAAAATTGACAGATGGTTTAAAACTTCAGTATCAGCCAATGTTGTGATCCAAATTACAGATACTCCTGTCAGAAAGCAAAGTCTCTACTGAAAAGTCAGCACAGTCTACACAAAAACAAATACCAGCCTGCTGATTGGACAACGATGAAACAGCAGTACACTAAAGAGGTGATTACTCTGCTCACTCTTTTATTTCCTCCTATTGGCACTTCTACACTACAGCATAGCCTGGCTTGGCTGCTAGTCCTGCTCCTCCATCCACCACTAAAGTAAAGGCAGCTGATGTCAGAACAAATTCAGGTACTACAATAGTTGCATTTAACAATACGTACATTTCATGATCTCTTAATGAATACAAAACCACAATACATTAACTGATAAGAGACGTTCAAGCCTTTGCTCTGTGTGTCGAGTCAGTGCCACACTATATATATATATATATATATATATATATATATATATGTATGTGTGTGTATAAATCTGCCCTGGAATTCAGCTTTAAATGCCTTATCACTTAAGTATGTAAGTTCTGGCAACCTTCTTGTACATAAATAATCTACCTTTGTGACCTAAAACACAATACAGAATGAGGGGGAGGAGAGGGGGGTTACCACAGGAGAGGATACTAATTGAGCTCCCCCATTTTGGTTACTGCATAAGACATCAGTTGCCAAGACACTTAACTGAAGGCATCTGAACGCATAACGAGGGTTATTATACACAAGGGTGTTTATTGTATGTGTGTGATCTGACCCTAAATAAGGGTCAGCAAATATCTGAACAGACATTAGATATGAACAGCAGCATGGGGCTTATATGTAAAGAAAACAGGAAATTTGCCAAGCAATGCCGACACACTGGATTAATATGAGATATTGGGATTCTAATGGCTCTTTTCTGCTACAATATATACCTCATACACTGCCAGGTTGTGTAACAATTCAGTTGACTCTGCTTTTCTCAGAAGAATCATACACATCAATACTTTTTTATTACAGGAAAACTAGTATATTGGTAGTTAAATGATCCATTTATATTTTTCATTGTGGTAATGTGCTGTAAAATGCATGTTGCGATGTACATTCCTGCAATGTGAAAATGTGAATGACACCCCAACAATTTAAAACAGTAGCAAGCAATGCTCTTACACTATGGTGTGCTTTATTACAAAAAAGGCAGTATCTGTTTTTTTTTACAATCGTTAAGAAGCACTGCTAGCCCATCCAAAATGAATGCAATGCATAAATTAAATGGGCCCTAAAATTTGCCTTAGACAGAAGACAGTTTTCCCAATTTTAAAAGTAATGTGAAGATTCTTGTAGCTTTTATAAGGCAATTAGTCTAATATAGAATTGTAACACAGAAGACCATGAGTTTCACACATGCTGAAATAGTGATTTTGGACTTTTTTCTGGTTTGAGAAGTTCTGAACAAGCAGTAGAAGTCTTTTGAAACAATTCCTCATTCATATCTGTGTCTATAAGCATCGTGAAGCAATTAATTTTTAAAGTTCCCAACACAGGTGCTGTGTTTTTCAACAGATCCTGGCTGCCTGCCAGCCCTCTAATGTAAACAAACAGCAGTTGCGTTTAAGCTGTCTAAGCTGTGGGGCCTAGCTGCTGACTTGTGATCATAGGTGTTGCTGTCCCGTGTTACCAAGTGATCAGAAGGGGATATGCCACCCCCTCATGTCTGTTTGTCTGTTAAACACGCCTCAACTGTGGCCATTGCAGCATGGTTGCAGCACACTCCTATTCACCTCTTTGGTGGTATGCAGTAAACAGTATAGTTTATTTTCCCATAATAACTCTTCAAATGCGTTGACAATTCTAAATGCTGAAATGTATTTATTCTTGCCAATAAATCTTATTTTAATGTGAATTTGATGGGAAAAAGGAGAGAGAGGGAAAAAAATAAGAGACAGAGAAAGTATAAAAGAGAGAGAGAGACAAAAGGAAAGAGAGAGAGAGAGCAAAAGGGAGGTTGAGGGAGAGAGAACCAAAGGAAATGAGAGAGAGGGAAAAAAGGAAACAGAATGGGGAGAGAAAGAGGAGAAATGAGGGAGACAGAGAGGAGAAAGGAGAGAGAGAGAGAAAACAGAGGAAGAATGAGAAAAAAGAAAGCTTTAACTAGACTTAATAATGTTTGTCATTTTGTCTATCTAAATAACTCCTATTTTATAAAGTGGAACTAAAACGCTTAATACTCAGTTGTCCAGTGGTCCTTTTCCTGAGTGATGGTTTTCGGTCCTCTTCATTGGCTGGCTGAGGATGAGCGAACGCGCTGAAGGCCGTCATCCCGGCACTCGGAGACTGGCCAGACACTATAAGCTGAATATGTGTCTCTTCTGCAACAAAAGCCGGCCTGCCTGTTTCTTACAGTGGAATTTCAGTTCCATTTTAACTGATTGCTTCCATTTATTGCATCCCAAAGTGGTTGTAAAGCTTAAATTTTTTTTTTTCGTAAAATAACAAACATGTTATACAATGTACTTACCTGCTCTGTACAATGGTATTGCACAGAGTGGTCTCAAACCTCCACTTCTAAGGGACCCCGCCAGTGCTCATGGCACCTCCTATTCTCAGTGCACCACCATACAGTAGGAAGCCTTCCTCTGGAGGCACACCTGCGGGCTCACTCCTCAGCTGGGCTGTGTTTGTCTATAAACACACACAGTGTGGCTCAGACATTATATTACATTACATTACATCGAGTTTATATAGCGCCAAAGGGTTTGCTCAGCGCTGTACAATAGAGGGGGGGACAATACATGAGACAGTACAGCAACTACAAACAGCACACGAGGGTTAAAGGGCCCTACTCTTTCGAGCTTACAATCTAGGAGACATGATTCCTACACTATCCTCCATGGATTTGACTGACAGCAGGAGCAGATGGCTAAGCTTTTGAGAGCAGGGAGAGAGCAGATATATCAGTCATAATGCTTGATTGATATAGGACTCAGGTAGGTATTAAGGGGGGGTAGAAAGTGGGTAGAACAGGAAGGCCCGAAGTAAGAAGAAAAGAAGACATGAATGAAGGGCCAGCATGACAGGGGTTAAAGGGGGTTGGGATGGGCAGAGTCCCATTAGCATAATGGGGAGTTAAAAATAGTTAAGGAAGGAGTGGGGGGGAGCCAGGAAGGGGGTCTTACAGGGTGTGGCAGGGGGGTTTTTCAGTCTGAAGAGAGTTTTCACAGGACAAACTTCCCTCCCGCCCGCCCATTGTTTAATGGTTTGTCTTGCTGGTGGTTGTGCCATATTTGTGCTGGGGGACGTCCGGCAGGGTGCAAGGTCCTTGTTGGTTAATGTGGGCACAAGAAAAGGCATTTTTTAGGAACCCGTCTGAGGTACGGCTTCCAGTTGTTTTGGTGGGAGTATCTGCGGTGGTGTCTCCGAGTCGGTGATGTTGCGGCTGGAGGCCTAGTTAAGCAGGACGCAGATATTCATTTTTCTTGATGCCTAGTGGGACCTTGAAAGAACGTATGTTTATACTGTGTGTTTCTGTTATTTAAAAATATTATTTAGTATGTATGAATGTGAGTTAGGGACCTTAGATTGTACGGGTTCACACATGAATGTGCACTGTAAAAATATGTTGAATAGACACAGGAAATTTTGCAGTGTGCTTAGTAAATAAAGACAAGAATCACTGCCACAATGCAAAAGAAGTGGTGTCAGTGTTTTTGCAGGCATTATAAAATTATTGAAATCCAATTAGGCTTGTGGACAAATCCAGTACATGGAACTATTCATATTTTGACTGATAATTTACTGTCTCATCCATCTTTACATTGATGGTTGGTATATTATTTAGCGCTGCATACCATTTGTATATTTAGTTTTTTTGGTGTTGAGGATTGCCTTGTGTGCTAGCTGCTGTCTTGTGATTTGCGCTCACTTACCTTGTTCCAATTATAAAATTATGTACAGCATACAGAACAATAATAAAATTACAGAACAACACATATACAGAATAAGAACAGATATCAAGAATTAAACTCAGCATACAGAACAAGAGAAGTGCAAATGTGCACAGTCCATACATACAGTATCAGAACTATACTGAGAATAGCACCTGTACTGCCCTCTGGTAGCCGGTTGTCAAGCCAGTACCCATGCTGAGGCATACAGAGATGGAGATAAACTATCTCCAGTTTCATGTTAATTACAACCCTTGGCCATGTTGGGAACAGGGGCGGGCTGACCATTTGGAAACTTGAGCACTACCCAAGGGCCCGAGTCAGTAGGGGGCCCCATGAGATGCACCTGGTACCTTTTTCATAGGCTTTTTTGAATTTGGGCAAGGACACAGGGGCCCCATGATCCCCTATTGCCTGGGGGGCCCCATGAGTTGTCAGTCCGCCCCTGGTTGGGAATAATTCAAAAATACATTTAGGACTACCCCCTTAGGGGCTGCAGGTAATAGCTGGTTCTGCCTCTGGCTTCAATAACTCTAGGGAAGTCTAGGAAATGCCTTTTTGAACTTTGTTGCTTAAAGACATTTAAAAAGGAGAGGGGTTAGGGCAGGGCTTAAAATTTCGAGTCTAGACCTACTAGCCAGGCACAAACATTACTCTCCACCAGTTGCCCCACCCAACCCAACCTTGCCCAGGTCTGCCTCCAACCCCACCCCCAGCCCTGCCCCCAACCACGCCCCCCTTAAAGTTTATGAAATTACATTTTTCTTTAGAATAAAGAGTCCAAAATATAAAAAAAAACTGCAATTATAACACAGCTTTATTATGCCAATTTAAACATAACAGCAATAGCTTAATAGCAATAGGGCGCAATCAAAATATCAAGTTTTACAGCTTTAAACCTGTAGTAAACATCTTGTATTTTTTTTGTTTATCTCCTGCATCTTTAAAAAGAGACTTTAGTAACTAAAGATGTAAGTTTAGTTAATGTCATTTACCTTAAGCTGGCGGGTGTAGTGATGTGCACCGTTGGCGGGTCTCTCCTTCATGTGTCCCCCACGCCGGTGTAGAGCGGGCCTCTCCACATGTCCCCCAAGGCGGTGTAGAGCGGGGGTAAGCCTCGTGTCCCCCAAGGCGGTGTAGAGCGGGCCTCGTTTCCCCCAAGGCGGTGTAGAGCGGGCCTCGTGTCCCCCAAGGCGGTGTAGAGCGGGCCTCGTGTCCCCCAAGGCGGTGTAGAGCGGGCCTCGTGTCCCCCAAGGCGGTGTACAGCGGGCCTCGTGTCCCCCAAGGCGGTGTACAGCGGGGCCTCGTGTCCCCCAAGGCGGTGTAGAGCGGGCCTCGTGTCCCCCAAGGCGGTGTAGAGCGGGCCTCGTGTCTCCCAAGGCGGTGGTGAGAGCGGACCTCATGTCTCCCAAGGCGGTGGAGAGCGTACCTCATGTCCACCAAGGCGGTGGAGAGCAGGCCTCATGTCCCCCAAGGCGGTGGAGAGCGGGCCTCTCCTCGTGGCCCCCACAGTGGGGGAGAATGGACCTCTATTCGAGTCCCCCGTGGCGGTGGAGAGCGGGTGTCTCCTCTCAGCAGAGGAGAGCGGACCTCTCCTGCAACTGTCCCCTCAGCTGTGCTGCCAGTGTAATGGCGGTGCCGAAGAAGTTGGAAACTGGAACTCGGCTTCACAATGAGGCTTGGAGCGCAGGTGGAGCCTCTCCATCTCTGCTCGCAACACAAAGATTTTCCCTCGCATTTGGTGAGCGGGCGAGCAGCTTTTTTAAGCCCTTATAGAGAAGTCCCACAGCCAGCTCCTCAGAAGATCACTCCAGGCCCTCAGCTCTGCCACAGCAAAGACCTAAAAGAACATCTACACTATCCATAGGCTGCCTCATGGGGCAATAGCCCCTGAGGCTTTGGAACCTTCCCTGCTGAGGAAAAACAATCTCTCCAGGCTCGACACCATTTTTCACCACCCCAGCCAACTTCTGGACTCACTCCTCTAGACATTGGATAGGGCATAATAAATATTCAGGTTGGTATTTGCCTCTTACAGCCCCATATTCTAGAGCCAAAATCTACATTTGCCTAGCATCTCACACTAGGAGGGTCCTACATATACTTAGGAGTACGTAGATAAACTCACTTTGATTACCTAAGTGTGTATAGGTCCTGGAAAACACCTAGGGCCTGTGAACCATGAGGGCTCAGGCCACCAAGCACACATATTTAAAAAACCCATGTTTATCAGTGCAATATAGATGGACCCTCCACCCCCCAACCCACCACACATGGGATTGTAGACAGCATGACTGAGATATAAAGACTAAACACCAACAGTGGAGAATAATTGGCCGTGGCCTCTTTATTATTTATATAGGGTCTTGGGCCCTTCCAAAACCCAAAGGGGGCCTTGAAACTTTCCTCCCAGCTGTCACAATCTCATGAGTGCGGTGGGTCTTAAAAACAGGCACCCCTTTACTTCCATTCCCTACCTAAAACCATTTGTCATGTTCGCACTTCCCAAATATTATTTGTGCCATCTAGTTTTTTAGAGATGACAAGATCTGTTTAGCATTAGTATTAGCATTAACAGTCTTCTCAGATCACATGGCTGTTGAGCCCTTACTACCAAGCTAAGCCTTGGGTCACATGCTGTTGATCTTTGCATATGATATCCATGAGAAACGTCTTAGTTGCAAAACATTTACTTAACAGTTTGTCAAATGATGTGAGAGAATGCAGTTTAGATCCTTAAAATTATAGTTCGCAAAGATGGTTATAAAATGGAAAGTACACGGTAAAGTATACAGAATATGACTTTGTAAGTCTTGCATACTTTTCCTGATACTTAGGTATCATAAAAGGGGGTTTGCTGCTGTGCTCAGAGTACTGTGCAGAAGGATTTTCCATGCTACAGGTACTTCCTATTTCCCCAGACTATAGGCCTAAGACCTATTTGCTCTCCCCAAAGGAGAAGACATACACGTCTTTTCTACATAGTTCTGTAGTTTTTTCCGCTATTAAAAAGAGACTTGCCACTTAGGGAATCACCATCTCACCTTGAAGCTCTACATGGTGATGCAAGTTTTGAAGCTACATCCCATCAATCCACTCTCTCCTTCTACCCCCCAAGTCTACTGTATATATGCCCAAAGTTGGTGGGACCCGTGCCCTGACTGGGAAAGGGATTGGGAAAGCCCGAAACGGGACTAACACCACATTACATCCCAGCATACAGTTCAAACGAAGTGAAACTGTGCAGACCCCATACATGCAAAATCAGAACAATACTGAGAAAAAAAAAAAAAACACCCAGCATACAGGACAAAAGAAGTGCTACTGTGTGACAGTTTTAGTAAATATACAGTACTTGGCTTTCATTTGGCTTCTGTACTGCAAAAGGTGAAGTCACTATCCTTCTGATGAGATCCCAGAGAATGAATGGCGATGTCACCCTTGCCTAGGCATCATTGGTAGAAATGGTGGTAAGATATGTATGTTAACTATTTTTCTCCCGATAACACAGCATTTTAGCATAGGCGAAGAAGCCTGTAGAGTTGGCCAGCGGTAGGTGAGTGGTTCTTCCTCCATGCTCCCCTTACTCGATGGCTGGTAAGTGTGGGAAATATAAGAGACCTACCCCCTGTGGGTTCTTCTGGGATATGCTAGGCACCTAGGACAGGGTTACTCGCCCTGCACATGGGGTACCTTTTACTGTGCAGTACTCATCAATGCCCCAGGAAAAGGCAGAGGCTGCTTTCAGGGCTAACTCAATCTTAAGGTGGACCTTAAACTTAAAGATGGCCGTACACTGTGTATACTGAACAATAAACTGTACTCCAGTTGACTCGCTTTCTTCCCATGGCAATGCACACCTTCAACTTGTTGCATTCAGGAGGGGCATGCTGAGCTTATGCCCACTCCACCTGTCCAGAGTAACACTGTTACCTCTCTCCCAGTAACAGAATGGGGTCTGCGGACTTCATACATGCACTTTGTAATTCTTCCTCTTCCTTTTTTTTTTTTAACAGTTGCATTTATTAAAATCATACAAAAGTAGAAACAAACCAAGGTACATGAGAACAGTAAAGCTTGTGGCATACAGTAGATAAGCAGTACATACAAACTTCCAATGCTGAAAATCTTACAGAATCAAGATTTTGTCCTGAGCAGAGTCAGAATCGTATACATATTACGGTTCAGATGGTAACAACTCACAAGAGAAAGGAGTTGAGGAGAAAATCACAGAGCATGAGACAGAGCAGGAAGAAAAAAGAGCGAGAAGGGCGAAAAGGGGAGGGGGGGGGGGAGGGGGAAAGGGTGAATAAGAAAGGTAGGTAACACAAATAGCAGCAAGTCAGGCAAATAATACAAACTTGTCACAACCACAAGTGGAAACACCAATGATTACACCAATGATTATACCGTAAGGCCCTGTGCCTCCACCCACCCAGCCCATATTCTATCAAATCTAGCTGGACAGTTGCGACTCATATATGTAAGTTTATACAAGGTAAGCGCACTGTTGATTGCCGACTGCCAACCCGAAACCGTGGGCAGGGTAGACAGCTTCCATCTCAACAAAATTTCACTTCTAGCATATTAGAGAGAGAATAAAAGACAAACAGTTTGCTATACTTATCTGCTTCCACAAGGTCAATGAGACCTGACAACATAATCAGCAGACCCATGGGAATGAACAGTTTACCCACAGCGTTAATAGTATCGAATACCCCGGTCCAACAGGGACATAGTTTCGAACATTCCCAAAATATATGGTGAACCGTGGCTTCTGCCATATCACAACGAGGACATGTTGCTGATATACCAGGATATATTGCAGCCAGTCGCCGCGGGGTGTAATATATTCTATGGATAAATTTTAGTTGTATAAATCGGTCACTGGCTGAGATCATGGTAGGGAGGCACTGTAAAAGACAATCCTCCCAATCATCCTCCAACAGGGACGGATGGTCTGCATGCCATTTACTGTAAAGCGACTGCATTCTAGGGGTAGATAGGGGTAGCAATAAGGAATGGATAAAGGTTTAGGCAAGTCCTCCGTTAACAACAAGTTTTGTAGAGGATCAGTCTGTATGTCAGGGGGAGAAGGAAATTGGGCTGCCACAGTATGTCGCAATTATAGAAACTGGAAAAACATCCGGTTTTGGCAAGCCATAGTTGTGTTTGAGTTCATCGAAGGAGAGCAGGACACCACAAGGCATAATATGGCTCATAAGAGCCCAATACCACGACATTATCCCTAGGCCGGAGAGCCGCCAACGCACCGTGACCAGAACAGCCGCCCAATAATATAAAAGCAGCTTAGGTAGTGCCAGGCCGTAGTGCAATGTAGTTCGGGAAAGTCTTGGGCCCCTCCCAGCCCAGAGAAACACAGACAATACCATCCACACAATGTAAAAAGGATGGGGGGATTTGTA